TGTAATCTATGCAGAAATAGAAGTATAATGATGTACACCTGAAATTTATACAATGTTATAAACCAATGTTACTGCAATAAACAAACAAACAAACAAAAATGCTAGCTGCAACTTAATGTGTTTATTTCATTACCCAGAAATGAATCTACCTCCTGCAATTTAGAAAACTTTTATTTAGATAATAGCTTTGCACAGTGTTTCCCAGATTTTAAACTGCGTATTAGTAAAATTGGTTTTTTAAATTAATGAGACTGATTTTATAGCTGGCGCATTTAGAGATTTGAATGGGAAATGCTCCTGGGAGAGCTGGAGAGGCCAATTGGTTGTCTGCCCCCTGGCTCCCTCGCCTCCCCCAGCTGAGCCTCCTGGCAGCCCATCACTTGCCTTGAGTAGCCCTCTGCTTCAGGGGCTTGTCCTGGGTCTTACAGGCCTTGCAGCTTAACTTGGTTTGTACTCAAGGCAGACTCCTGTATTAGACCAGATGCTAATTAATAATTTACAGCAAGAAATGTAAGTGTGGTGGACAGAAAGTTCGTGGCAAACCACTCAGGCAGATAAGTCACTGGAAAACTCCATTGGTAAGTGTGGAGTATTAGCAAGAGGAAAGAGTTAAACAGTTCCTCACAGTTCAAGCCTGAGGCTTTTTCCACCATTGGCACATCATTTCCAGGCCAACTAGATTCATGGGTCAGCCTGCCTCTGCCAAGACTGGCCTCGGGGACTGTCAATTTTTCTGTGCTCCTTGTTTGTATGATTGGAAGGAAACCTTATTCTCTAACTTTATCTGATTCTTTGCGCTGGCATGCATTGTATGTTGATTTATTGTTTAATTTTCTAAGAGCGGTAGCGTTTTTTCCCATATCCAAGTTCTTGCTCACACAGATGGCAACTCCAAGATAGATTTCGTTTTTCCCTTTTAATAATAGTAACTGAATCTTTATTTAAACTCCTGGTATGATATTCTTGAAATTTAAAAGTGGTTTCATTTAGTGTATATATGCCACATAGCAAGTGGCAAGAAGATTCCTTCCAAATGTCTCAGCAAATATGTTTTTGCATTGATGTATATTATATAGAGGTTTGCAAACTGCCTGTTTTATTGTTTTATTTTATTTTTTTAAATAAAATATTTGTTGAGATGGTAACATGAGGGCCTGCTTATAGTGGGAATATCTTCACTTGGAGAATGGACCTATACCCAAAATTTGACATAAAATAAAATTACCTAGCAAGTGAAAAATGCCTAATCTCACAAATTTTACCTTAGTTTATCTGCACTGTCGAAGCCTCAGGTCCCATTTTTATTTTCCTGAACTATGAATTGCTTTGAGTATTTAATGTTTTCCATTAATACATTCTGTAGTTGGCCAAGAATTCAGGAAAACCGGGGGTTATGACCGACAGAGAGAAGAAAAGGCTGATTGAGCTTTTGAAGGACTTAGATGACAGAGATTCGGGACTGTCCAGTTCGGAGGTATGTAAACTCTGCTAGTTAATGACCTCTGCACTTCTTAATTTTTATTTTTTTATCAAGTTATTGATCCATTAGCACAAATTTACAATAATTTTTCAAGTTATGAGATAATATTCTTTGATTTAAAAAAATCTTCTTTTGCAAATCTATTTTTACTGAAATTTTAAAATTTATTCTTGGTCAATTCATTATTGACTCTCAAAGGATTATCTCATGTTATTATAAGAGTGACTTCGCATTGGCTATCACAATAATAACCACTGCCTGTGATGTAATGGGCTTAGTCACTGATGGCATATGAATGTGTTTCTCTGTATCCTTTTATTTTGGACTTTTCTTGTTATCCCTAAACTGGCTCTATGATATTTCAGTATAGTCTTCAGTAATAATCCTAAAGAACAGTGAACCTTGAGCATCTAGTTCCCTGAAGAGTCTGAAGGGATCACAGATGAGCCTAAGGAGGAGAACAGCATGCAATCCGGGGTGTGAATGTGGGCATTTATAGGGCCCAGCATGTTGCACATGGAGTGCAGTGGCCCAGCATTTGCACGTGTTTGCATACTTACCTTATAGCACTATTCTTTAGTCCCACAAATGAAGTACACTCTCCTGTGTTCCTTACAGCCCTTATCCCTGTTATCCAGCTTTTATTTCCCTATGTTTAATAGAGACATGATGTAGTGAATGCTGCTGGCACCCTGCCCAGATCCCCTTTACCTGGCACCTGTCTATGCATCACCCCCCTGCCCGGTGCCAAGGGTGCACAGCTGCCCCTGCCCTGGAGAACTGCCCTGGGCTAACTGGGAGCTGTACAGGCCAGGAAAGCACCCCCTCCCCACCATGCCCCTCACCTCAAGATGGGATTAGCCCTGTGGTGCAGTTTGTCCTCCAGAGTTTCCCAGGGGTCAGCTGTTCTTCAGCTGAGACTGCGTCTTTGCCAGGCTCTGTTCCCGTGTCCTAGTCTGCTTCCCTCATGCCCCTTCTCCTGAAAGCACTCCCCTAATAAGTCACTTGAACAAGAATCCCTGTCTCAGGCTCTGCGTCTAGGGAACCAAGCCTAAGTCACATAGATTCAGAGGGTAATTTTTGCTCTGGGTACAGAAGCAATGCACGTGCAGCAATGCCTGTGGCCAGTGCAGGAGGACATGCCAGTCCCTGGAGCCAACACTCAGCATCAGCTGCTGCTTGGAAATCCCAGCCCAGGGCTGCCTGGATCCTCCAATTTGTCAAGAGAAGCTAGAAATTCAGATTTTATGGGAAACATTCCTTTTTTAAAAATGTTGACAACTAATTCCATTTAAAAAAGTGCTGTGTGGACAAACAAAATCTCTACCCGCTGCCTCACCCCAAACCAAAAGCAAGTCTGCAGAACATTACAGACTAAAACCACTAAATACTTTTTTCTAAGATGGTGAAGGTCTGGGGCTGGTGAGATTGCCCTGCCAATCCAGAGAGACCCTGCACCTCTTCGCATCCAGTGTGTTTCGCGAAGCAGGGGCAAGGAGTGGGTAAGGCAGACTGCTAAATGCCCACGTAATTCTGAGATACTTTAGCTTTGGGATTCATGGTAACTTGTTTGTTTTATTATCAAAAGCTAAGATAGTAATCATTAAAGGATCTTGGTCTCATGCATAGTTTTGTATTAATTATGAAGTTGGGCAAGCTGCTGCCCACGGATTCTCTGGGTACCAAACTAGGGCGTGATAGCTCTTCCTTAAGTATTCTAGGAATGCTTTAACAATGAATTTTTGTTATTAATATTCCCTTTTACATATTATTTTTGTTAATATTTGTCTTGTCCCTCTCTTTATTTTAAACTCTATCATTTAGGTAGAGTTTTAGATAGAACTTTTTTTTTTTTTGAGGAAGATCAGCCCTGAGCTAACATCCATGCTAATCCTCCTCTATTTTTGCTGAGGAAGACCGGCTCTGAGCTAATATCTATTGCCAGTCCTCCTCCTTTTTTTCCCCAAAGCCCCAGTAGATAGTTGTATGTCATAGTTGCACATCCTTCTAGTTGCTGTATGTGGGACGGGGCCTCAGCATGATCGGAGAAGCAGTGTGTCGGTGCGCGCCCAGGATCCGAACCCGGGCCGCCAGTAGTGGAGCGTGCGCACTTAACCGCTAAGCCACGGGGCTGGCCCTTAGGTAGATCTTTTACAAATACCATATAGCTGGATTTTTATTGTTTATGTTGTGTTTTTATCTTTGGTTGTGTCTTTATCTTTTATTGTTCATTTATCTTTTGTTATTATTTCCTATTCTTTATCTTTTAATGATGATATTTAATTTATTCATATTTCTTATGACCGCTGATAATTTTTGGACCTTTTCCTGACATCCTATTTTATATTTCATTTATTATATTTGTTTTTTTTCCGTAACTTTATCCCATTTTCCTCTTGTCACTTGAAAATTCAGTATCCTATTTCTTATCTGATACTGTTAACCTTCAAGTTCTTAAAATACATTAAATACTTTTCAACTTCAATAATTAATTAACCTCTAAAATCTTATATCTTAAAAAGACAGGATCTTTGTTATGCTTTTATTTCCCTTTTCTCCCATTTCCTCTCCTCTAGAATGTATTGAAATCAACTGGAGTTTCAGTTGCAGAATATTATAAGTTTTTACTTTTAAAAATTCTTCTTGTATTTTAGGAATCTTTCAGTCTCAACAGTGGCCAGATTTTTAGCCATGTCATTAACTGTGTGTTTAGGCTCATCTAATTGTTTATTTGTACAAATTACTTTTCTTGAATTAGTCCTCTGGAACTTTTCCCCAAGAAATGATGGTGTGTAGATATGAGTGTTTGCATATTCAAAAACTTACTTTTTCCTTATTCGAATGATGGCGTGGGTGGTAACTAAATTCTAGATGCAAACTCCTTTCTTTCTGGAAGCATGTAGGATTTTCTCTTTATTTTTGAGTTCAGAAATTTTATCAGAACATATTTATGTATGTCTTTAAAAACCTTTTTGTTCCTGCATGGCACCTTGTAGGCGCTTTCTATCTGAAGGTTCAAGTCTTTCTTCAGTTCAGAAAATTATCTTCTATTATCTCTTCCCTTCCATCATCTCTTTTCTCTCCTTTTGGGCTACTTAAAATGGGATATCAGTTGGGAACGTGATTAGCTGCAAGTAACAGAAAACTTTATAAACAGTCCCTTAAACAAGTAAGGAGTTTATTTATTTATTTTTTTGCTGAGGAAGATTCACCCTGAGCTAATATCCACTGCCAATCTTCCTCTTTTTGTATGTGAGCCGCCGCCATGGCATTGCCACCGACAGATGAGTGGTGTAGGTCTGCACCTGGGAACTGAACCCAGGCTGCTGAAGCGGAGCATGCTGAACTTAACCACTAGGCCACTGGGGCTGATCCCGAGTTTATTTTTTTTAAGTAATGACAAATGCAGGCGTAAGCAGCTAGTGTCTTTCTGTCTTCCTGTTCCACGTTCTTAGTGTGGTTTTGTTTTTAGGTTTGCAAGATTGCTGCTATATCTGTAGGTAATGTGTCTATTTTCCAGGCAGAAAAAAAGGGGGAAGGGTAAGAGGTAAACAGACACTCCTCCAAGGCTTTGCCTTTTTATTTGGGAAGGTGTGGTGTCCCCAGGACTTCCACCTGCATCTCATTGGCCAAGCTGTGTCGCTTAGCCATTTGTTTCATACATTGCTGCAAGTGAGACTGGGGATTCAGGTATTTCACTTTCTAGTTTTTGTAGCAGAGGAAGGCAAGGAAGAAGGAAATTGGAAAAGGAGAGCAGGTCAGTCAACGTTCAAGTGTCTGCCACAGATGGGTATAGAACCTCCTGGATCTCTCCTCTAGATATTAAAACATTTTTCTGATAATTCATCTTTTTTCATTTTGCTCATGTGAGCTCCTTTTACAGTTTACCAAGTTGGGTTTAAACCATATCTATTCTGCTGTTTAACTATGCAGTCCTCTTTTGATATCATTGCTATTGTTTTTACAGTTATTATTGTTTTCTAAGCTAATATTTGCTGAGAGTTCTTTTTGCAAGTCCTCTGAGACTGCATTTGCTATATTCTTTCAAACTTCCATGTGCCCTTTTCTTTATGGACTGCCCCACCACTTCATCTCTGACAAATGCCTATGCGACTTAAAAAGAATGACTAAAACGATAATTATGTTTTAACTAACCAGAACTCTTGCCCTCTGGTTAATCTTTATGGTGGCGTGTTTAATTGTATGGATGTAATATTCTCTTGAATCTCTCTAGGATACTTACTTTGAACTTTTTAAAGATTTCCTCCTATGTTGGGAACTCACACTTACAAGTACTGGCTACCCGAAGACAGATGCCTCTACTGCCACCTTCCCCAGCGAAATGGGTTTTGCATCAGATCTGAAATTATTCACATCTAAGTCAGTATTGAATGAGTGAGGCCAGTTGTGGACCCTCAGTTACTGGCCTGAGTCCTAGTGTATAGGAGGGTGGTGAAGAGCATTTTCTGGGTTCTGTCTTAGGGAAGCAAGACTCCTAAAAGCTAGAAATTTCCCATACATAGCAAGGGTGTCTAGAAGGTGTTAGACGGGAAAACATGATACCATGTACTACATATTAGTATATAATTTCCTTCTGTAACTGCATAGTGCCTGAGACATTTAAATTTCTATTAAATTGATCTGATATGCTCTTTTCCCTCCAGTGTCATTAAAAATAATTCTATTCGGGGGCTGGCCCAGTGGCGTAGTGGTTAAGGTCACGCGCTCCGCTTTGGTGGCCTTGGGGTTCACAGGTTTGGATCCCCAGCATGGACCTATGCACCACTTATCAAGCCATGCTGTGGCAGGCGTCCCACATATAAAAATGGGCACGGATGTTAGCCCAGGGCCAATCTTCCTCAGCAAAAAGAGGAGGATCAGCAACAGATGTTAGCTCAGGGCTAATCTTCCTCATCAAAAAAAAAAATAATTCTATTCAGACAATAATTTAAAATTTATTAACCAATATTTAGTCATTGATTCCATAGTTTTACTTTTTTGTGATTTTTTATTATTTCTCATTTAGGTCATACAGTATTTACATCCCTTTTATTTAGGAAAAATTAACCAGGGTTTCTTATTTGTGAGTAATATTATGTTTTTATAATTATGTTTAACTTTCATATACCAACTAACAAGTGTATTTAAAAAATTAATTACTATATCGTATCTTTGTATGGATATACACAGTCTACTCACTTTATCCCTATTTTTAGACATTTGGGCTTTTGTAGTTATCCTTTATTATAAATAATATGGCAAAAAACATACCAGTCAGTGTTCTGGGTTGCAAGAAACAGAAATGGACTTTGGTTAAAAAAACAAAAAATGCTTTTATTGGGAGACTTGGTTAGCTAACAGACTCATTGGGAAGTTTGGAGAACCAGGTTTGTAAACCAGGCAGATATCAAGGTAGCCAGAAACATGGCCATAGAAACTCCTCAGAAACAGGCTGATTAGGGGCTGTACCTGGGCCACCAGACACCCCCATAGATGCTCGCTGCTGCCACCTTCATCATGGCCGACACTGGATTCTCAATGCCACTGCTGTCACTAGTAATCATTTTCCCACTTTTCCTGCATCTTTACTTCTCCTTCTCTCTCCCTCAAGAGTCAAAGTCCAGGGTGTTTGCTTCTGATTGGCTGAATCTAGGTCATTTGCTTGTCTTCTTGATGCCAGTATGTAGGGGGAAGGAGTGTCTGGTGGTGACCTGTCCCCTACCAAGACTGATGCAATGTTTGGTTTCTCTGAAGCAGGAAGGGAGATTGGATGCTGGGGGACAAATATGTCTTTCTGTGTACATTTTTGCATGAATTTCTTCTGGTTACCATTTAGGGATTGATTCCTGGTATTAGTGTCATGAAACCAAAGTGTATGAAATTCTTAAGCTTCCTTGCCCTCCAGCTGCCCCTTTATTCTTAGTGTTCTTCATGATTCTTCTGTCCTACATACTTCCCTGTGTGACCTCACCCATTCCCATGGTCCAAGAGTGTGAACCACTATAGATATATGGGTGAGTCCAAAATACTTATTTCCAACCCAGGTCTCTACCTTGAACTTTAGACAAATATATTTAACTTCCTAACATAACCTGGATATCCTAGGGACATCTGTGAATATCAAAAAGTGCTGAACGGAATCCATCATCATCTTCCTCCTCAAACCTACTCTGTCTCCTATATTCCCTAGTTTGGTCGATATCACCACCATCTCCCTAGTTGGCAGAATCAGGAATTTGGTTTTTGTCCTTGATCCTTATTCTTCCCTTCCATCAAATTATCTCCAGATTCTGTAAATTCTACTTCCTAAGTATCTTTGGAATCTGTCCTATATTCTGCATTCCCAGGAAACATTCTTTAGTTCAGGCACTCATCGCTTTTGTTCTAGATTATGGCTTTTTCTTCTTAACTGGGTTATCTGCCTCTAGTCTTGCCCTCACCAGCTCCAGTTTTAAAGTCATAGCTGATCATGTTATTTCTTTGATTAAGATGTGATTGAGATTGATTATTTCCTCCAGAAAGCCTTCTCTAATCACTGTCTCCCTTCCCAATGCACAGAGGTTAGTTGACCCTCCCTGGTTCCCATGGCGCCCTGGGCTGACTAGCACTCTTCACACCTTGTTAAAATCTCTGCTGCCAAGAGACTGAGAACTCCTTCAGGGCAGAAACGTGTGAATTCATATTGAATCACCAGTGCCCAGTATAATGCCTAAACACAGTAGGCACTCAGAGGGAGATTTTTGAAAGAATGTTATGAGTGGGTTTTAACCCGTTATGAAACTAATGTTAGGTGAATAAGGATTTAGATGACCAATTAAGCTCATGAAATCCAAACAACTGAGTTTAGAGACCTTAGCTACTTTTCAGGGACAAACTTTGAAAATACCATGTCCGTTATAGGGTAAATATGATTCTTCCTGTTCAGCATATCACAAACCACTTTTTCAAAGTGGAGAAATGATAATATTATGGGACTCAGACTGTGAGGCTAAGAGATTTATTCCACAGGAAAAAACCCCACAAAATGTAAGAAGATACTTTACACAGAGTTGGCAGATAATGAAACCATAAATGATTTAATTTTTTTCTTTCACTATCCCAATGTTAATGCTGTACTTTTTGTTTGTTTGTTTTTGTGAAGTCCTGAGCATTGATGTAGCAGTTTGAAAGGTATGTTTTGGAAAAAATGTAGCATGAGAATGACCTGGTGACCCTTGTTTTCTCTTAGGGCGATCGGTCTGGCTGGCTGCTCCCGGGAGAAGGCTACACACTTGCAGTCACTCAGCATCAGCAGCTTGCTGAAATCGATGCCAAACTCCAAGAACTCTCTGCAGCGTCCCCAACAATTTTCAGCTTTCCTCCAAGACTTGGAAATCAGAATGATCAGGTATATTTAAATCAAGAGTGCATAGACAGTTCAGGTTTATGTGTGCTAAAGCTAGTTCACATAATTTGACAATCTGCTTGTTAACTAAAGAGGTTTCTTCCCATTTGCTTTTTCGGTGGCTACAACTGTAGTGATAGTAGTTTCCATGACAGTGTGTATTTTCCTTTGGAGACTTCCACTTCCTATTCATTTTTCTTTCAGTTGGTGATTTGCTGGGATGGGGTCACTGAAGAAATATTTATTTTAATATTATTATATCTTTATGATTTAAGCTAATTCTTGATCATGATCAAGAGAGAGGAGAAGGGAGAACGTTGATATAGTATTCAATAGTCCTTTGGGAGCCTTATTTCTTTCTATTCCTCTGGTTCTAGGTATTAGGAATGGCAGCCGCTTGTCCCTTACTCTGCCACATTCTTCTAGCTCTTTCAATTTAACATCAAGCAGTGAAGCTCATATGTTGATAATTTCTCACCCGTGAGGGTGTTGAAATAAATGTGTTTCCTCTCTCGATAGTTCCCTCAAAGATTCCTTTATAAAGCTGGTAGAATGTGTAGAAGTTGTAGTAAAACAGAAGAGTTAATAACAGCTTTGGAAAAGTAAAATTCTCTTTTCCCCTCTATATTTCAGTACCTCATAGGATCTAGTTTGGAGTTGGGTGGTAGTTTTCACCTGAAGAGAAAATGGCTGGTCTTTTGTGATTCTACTAACCCTCTACCAGTTTTGTAAACATTTCGCCAAATCATTTTCTGTACAATCTCAGATGCATGTGATTTTCTTGGTCCTTAAAAAGATTTAAATATCAGTAGTCTATAAATAACAATTCTGCTTTATAGTGTGTCTTTCTTCCAAGCTATCAATGGAAGTTTAGGGATCTGGCTTTGGGCCAGTTGAAACTACCTTGGGGGAAAGGAGCAGTGTTAAGATGTTCCAAAGAAAGTCCGGTCACTGGCAAGACCTTTATGAAGCCATCTCATCTTCCTTAGGTTATGTTTCTAAGGGCCAGGCACAGCTTCTTCTGACCCCTTACACAACAGTAGTGGTGGTAGTGAAAATCACTGATTTCTGGATTGAGATCAGAGTTCTTGGGAAACAGAGAATTGGAATCTCTGTCCTCACCCAAATGTACCCCAGGGCTTTGACACTGGTTACACTACAGTTTGTGTGTGTTACTGGGTGCCATTTCCCAAAAGGAGGAAGCCCCCAGATGGGGGAATAAAATTGCTCAGGGATATTCTTTGTGCTTTTCGTGTTACAGCTCATGTTGTTTTGTTATTGTTGTTAGAGTTCCTGGGTAGCTGAGATCTCGAAGGTGGATAAAGGTCCTAAAGATAGAAAATGTCTTTTTCATGGCTGTCAGATGTTATTCTTGAAAGAGAGACTGAGAATTTAGAGATTTGTTTAGCTATTAGGACTTCAAATAAAGCATGACTATGGTCAGATTCTGTCATTGTCATCTAAATCACATTTTCAGAGTTCACATTTATGGTTCAGATAAAATATTTAAAAAAATTATAAAAAGGAAAACTAGCACATTACTTAGTTGTTACATACTGAGATTATATATTTTTATGTAAAACAGTATATATTTAGAGAGAAAAGAGGAAACTACATTTTGGGACTCCCATTAGGTATAGAAACAGAAATGTAACATTGTAGTTATTGAAAAGAAATAATTAGTGCTTCTTGCATGCAAAAAAGAATATCTTATTAGCTTTTGTTCAATTTCCTCTTGGCTTTCCTCCTTTCTAACTAAAACCAGCATTGCATATTGAATTTTCAAGCCAGAAATGCTAACGTGGCAACTTATTTTATGGCTATTATTTTTGGATTGAAATTGTTTTCAATAAATACACTGAAAAGTATCTCAGATAAACCCTGCATATCTATTCAGTTGATGAATGGGCTCCAATCTATTGCTGAACCACAAATATTCATAGGGCATAGTCACATTATTTTTATTTTTAACTCTCTGCAAACCATTAACCATCAGTAATTTTTCTCCATGCTCTTTTAGAAAGAATGTCTTTTAAATGGTATATAAATTTCTGTTTTTCAACAATCAATTCAACAAGCATTAATCAAGTGCTCACTGCATGCAAAGAGTAATAGGGAACCTAGAGATGAGTCAGGCAAACATAGAACTGTGGGGTCAGAAAGCTTCGCTTCAAGTTCTGGCTCTTCCACTTACTAGGACTTGGGCATTAATTAGAAGCTCTCTAAACCCTAGTTTCCTCCTCTATAAAATAGTAATAATATTATTCTTTAGGGTTCTTTTAAAGGGTAGATGAGTTAATATATGTAAAGTGCTTAGCACAGTGTGTGACCCAGAACTCAACCAATAATGTTATTATTATAATGATAAGTGACTTAAGGAACTTATTTCCTTATGGGAGGCACAGAATATACATAGATAACTATGGTACAAGACAACATAGGTAACACCATAGAAGGCTATAAACAAAGTGCTATGGTGGTTCAGAGGAGAGAGAGAAAGCACATCCAGAAGGAATATCAAGAAAGTCCATTTCCACAAGTGAGGGACAGGCAGAGGAAGAGGAACTAGTGAATGAGGCAGAAGGGGTCAGTGGCCCAGGAGAAGACTGCCATTATACAGCATGAGGTTGAAAACTGGTGGCCTGCAGGGCAAATTTGGCTCACAGATGGGTTTCCTTTAGCCCACATAAAGTTTATAATTTTTTTTGAGCCAACATTTAAAAATTGGGTGAACTCATATAAAAGTTCAAATTTCTAGTTTTTCTTGAAAAATTAGAAAATCTGGCAACATTAGGTCAGAATCCTTCCTTGGCACACTACAATATTGAGCTGAGTGGCAACTGCTGCTTTATATAGAGCTCAAATTCTCCTGTTTGCTATAGTATCTACCATTCCGTATTGTAGTACAGGCCCTGAGGCCTACTTCATGCATTTATGTTACTTGCCCAGCCCCTGCACAGGCCATCAAACCATCTCTGAATGCCTGCTTATTTCATAGGAGATGCTGTGGTGGTTGGTGTTGAGTATCCAGATTAGTGTGTTACTTCATCTCTGACCTTAAAGCAGATTGCAGGATACTGGAGGATAGGATGTAAACATAGAACAAATTGTGGAGTGACCATACAATTAAACAAGAAGTACCACAATATGGGAACTGATCATATGAAAAGTACAGAAAGTGTATGCTGTAGGAGCACAGAGAAAGGAAAGGTTATTTGATGAAAGCATGATATTTAACAAATTCCTTTGGAGATTTGTTTATTTTGTTCAAAAAAACCAAAAAACCAGTTTCTCAAACAAGTTGAAACACACAGGCTTTCTGACTTATCTGACTACGGCAAGTTCAAGGTGCTAAGTTGATAGGTACATAAGCCTAGGATATGATAAATGTACCCGAGTCAGAGTAATTTGAGGGACTCCAGAAATGTGACTCAGAGATTAAGGAAGCGTTTGTTGCTGTGAAAGGGGCAGATAAGAAGTCTTTTTTTCCTTATGAGCTTGCTGATTACGATGTTCTCATATAGATGCCCTGGCCTGGCTCTTAACTTTTTGGCAATGTTTTAAAAGCAGCATTTGGCTTTTACATATCTGATTTCCTTAGTGTAAAACAAAGCATGTGATCACATTTAAAAGAAAGAATGGCATATTACTGCTATTGCTGTAATGTGAATAATATAATGTGATTGCAGTTTTTACATCTGTTTTTTATTTTCATTTCATCTTAGCAAAAGAGAACTAATTGAAGCAATTTTTTTCTTAAGATCTGTGCATACCTTTCGGTATCCATCCCCTAACCCTCCAACAAATCAGTTAGTTCTTTCCATGTATTCTAAATCCCACCATAAAATTGAGTGATGTTCTATAATTTAGTTACCGTATTTCTTATATGTAGCTGTGTTAGATTCCAGCTTTCTCCAGAAATATCTAAGGTATAGGAGTTATGTAAGCATTCAGTTTCTTAAATCCTTAGCAACTGGATTCAATAATAAATTCTATTCAGTTTGGCACTTGTAGAGAAGTGTAATTTATTCATCTCTCATGCAGTCTTACTAAATCTAGAATTTCAGTTTATGGTTAGATTTTTTTTTTTTCCGGTTGGGAGAGGGTCTTCAGAAATGCCTCTCATCGACAAGAGGCATTTCTTTGTTCTAAAACCAACTAGTTAAATTGAATATAAAGCTCCTCCTTTACTTGATTTATCTTCTTGTTTTTAAAATATTGATTTAGTTGTACACAATTTGGTAAGAAAACAAAAAATTAACAAACATTTGATTTAGGAAAATTGTAGTTGTATTCATCTCTTTTCTTGTCAAGAGCATACTATTCCTGACAGCAATAATTAACTGTTTCTTAGTCTCTTCCTGTTTCAACATTAGCTAAAATTGAGGAAATATAAATGTTGTTTGACATGTATCCTGAAAAATGTTTTATTGCTGAGTCCAGGGATTTGCAGAGTTCTAATAATGGCTATGTTGTTCACTTGACATCAAGTTACTTAATATGCTGGTTGAGGGCAGGAATCTAGGAAATTTTTTTGTGTGCTAGTCACAAGCACAGAAATCTTATTGACCATCTACTCATTTCCGAAAACCATAGAAGTATACCACAAGAGCATGGGTTTCTGGATTGAGGAATAAATAAGAAGTTACTTCAGAGGCCCTTGCCTCTAATGCTAACCTGTCAAATGTTCCCAATTAAATCTGGGGAATTATTCTTGCCACTGATGTTTTACAGATTGCTTTGAAGTTTATATTTATGTTTCTTTGTTTTCTATATTAAGCCTCCTGTGTAGTCAAGGTTTCTTTCATTTGATGGCAATATTCAAAGATGATAAAAACAATCTGGCTGAAAGATTTTTTTCCCTACTGTTAGTACTGCCAGGCCAATGATCTATCTGATGACAGGAAATAGCAGTAGCCTATGGAAAAGTGTAGCATTAGCTTGAAAACACATGGCAAGCTGGCTTTATTTAAGCAGGTTTGTATTTTTCTGGCCGTTAACTT